TACCTTATGATATTTTAAAATGTTAATTAATAATTATACATTTCTATTAAACTATATGATAATTATATTTGATCAACACCATCCATCGCCACCACTATGGGCCACCTTACCTCCACCATAACCGCCAATATGGGCCATCTTATCTCCACCATAACCACCACTACTGTAGACTATCACTCCACCGTCGGCCACCACTATTAGCTACCACTACCACTATCTACTACATTCATGTCCTCCACCACCACTAGTATCGTCGGCCACCATCACCTCCATCATCACACCTACCTCCACCACATACCACAACTACTTCCTCCACATCTGCCAACTGCCACCACCACTGCTATCCACCATCGTTCACGTCCTCCATAACCATCATCGTTCACCAATTATCAATGCTTATACCTCCACAATCATTGTTGTTGCAACAATCTTCATTGTGACTTCACCAATCGATAAGAATCTTCTAAACCAAATAAAAAATAATTTCTCCTTCGTATGAATCAGAGTTTTTCAAACTATCATCAATTATATATAAAAATTCATTCAAATTTGGTACTATTTTATATTTATGTGTATGAAAATTGTGTAAAAATGTTTATAAATTAAAGTATTTACTTTATTTGTGTTAATTATAACTATTATATAATAAATAAAATTATAAATAATTTTCGGGGGTAACTTGTTTAGTTCTGTCATGTCCAGTCCTAGTCGTACCAAACATCAGACAAACATATGTTATGTCTTAACCCTTTCAGTTCTACCCTCTTGTCCTGTCCAATTATGTCTTTGTGTACCAAATCTTATTATAAGCCCATTAATAAGAAAAGAAAAGAACAAAACAAATAAAATATATTTATAAACATTTAAATGAATTTATCAAGAAAAAAAACCCCTTAAATGTCGCTATCTCTATTCTGTACTAAATGGCTTAAAATGTATATGAACTCAAATAAATGTATAGATTCTAAAGTATGCAATTACAACTTTCTCCTCCTTTTTTTCATTTATAATATATATATATATCTTCTTTTAATATATAGTTTAATAAATTCTGAAACAAAATAAAGACAATATTCGTTCATCGACGTTTTAAGATAATTACTTAATTGGTCTTCGTCATCAAAATCAAAATCAAAATCAAACCCTTATTGATGGGTCATAACTCACCTGATGCGTACCGGTTGCCCTGTTACTAAACGTATGACGGTATCATGACCTAAAACGAAATTCTTGACGAAGAAGCAGTGAGTCCAATAATTGTCTGCTACAAAAAACTCATGACCTAAAATCCAAGATCTCGATCCCTGTTTGGACTTTTTAATCAGAGATCAAATTTGGGAACCGCACCACACAAAACCCACGTTGGTCGATGGATTTTGAGAGAAGAAGATTAAAAGGCACAGACGACGTTGTTACCTATGATAAGCAAAGAAAAGACAAGGCAACTTTGGAGCGGATAGAGAGATGGAGCAGGAGAAATGGAGAGAGCAATGAGCACGTCGATGGAAGAAAAGGAGGATGAGAATGAGGCAAGAAGCGGATCGATAGAGGAGGGAAAAAGGTGACGGAAAGCGTCTGTTACAGTGAGGCTAGCATAAAGTCATTTTGATGGCTTAGTGGATAAAGCAAGGTACAATCTCCTGAGTGAATAAGTCATAAATAAGCCACCACCACAGGCATATATATGGTTTACAGAATAAGCCATGCAGGTTATTAAGCTTCTTAAGCCAATACCAAACAATCTTTAAGTTGTAAACATAATTTTATGAGATTATACATTAATAAATAGTTTTTAATGGTTAATTAGCTGTTCTCAATAAAGCTTTTACCAGATGATTTATAATACAGTATGAAGATCATTATAAAATTACATAAAAATCGTTGTTAAGGGACTATTTACCAAAGTATTTACGAAAATAATAAGAGTTCATTTTAGATTATGTATTTTTAAACCTTCATTTTGATACATCAGATGTGATATCTTAAACATTTATACCACAATATGTTAGATAAAACAAAAATCAGACCAAAATACATTATATATCTAATATAAACCAGATATCAAAATGTCTGAGATGTTACATATGAAATCCTAAAACGGAAATTTTGATATATAGTCAAGTTTGGGGGAAAACCGATAAAAACTTAAAAAACTGAGAAACACCCTAATAACAATTCATCGGTATGGTATGCACATATGAATACAAGTAATTTTTACAGTACGCAAATTACATGTGCATAGAAACCAAGATACATCTTCAATTATTTATACGTCAAAGGTCTTCCACGTCTCTGATTTTATATCATATGTGATGCATTATAGTTTCACATCATGAACACCTTATCACATGTGAGAGGTCTAATGATGTACAGACAACTTGGCCTGCAACCCTGGTTTGGCCAAAGGTCGTCAACGTATCTGATTTATTAAAACATGTGTATCATATATGACGAACTATAATATCACATATGATTGACCATAATATAAATGTGTTATCACATTCTCGTAAAATAAATATGTTCTCGTTTAAACATATATATATATATATAGAGAGAGAGAGAATTTGCATAAGTTATATAATAATTGGAGAGAGGAAGTAAAGATCACGTGTGGTGCAGAGCAGGTTATGAGTAATTTTTGGGGGCGGTTAGCTGGCACCTCCTGCATCTCGATCTCAAATATCTACGTCTTTAATTCCACCCCATGCTTCCGATCTCCTACACACCATCCCATGTTTTTTTTCACTTTCACAACCAATCAACGGCTCCTCCGTTTGCCACGTGTAACCATTCATACGTGCAAAAACAAGTCTCCTAGTTGTCATACCATACCCTTGTTGTCGTTGACCCATCCAATTGACCACCCTTATTCTCCCTAATTTCTTTACAATCAATATAAATATAAACATATCACTTTGGCTTATTCATATCATTGGTTTGGCTGTTTATGTTAAGCCGAGAAGATAAAACGACCGCATAAACTCAAGGATCGTGTAAAAAAAACACTTTTTAAGTACAACTATTCGACCCTGTTAACACTGGGTTCACAAATTTTGAAGAGCAAATCTGAGTTCTTTCAATGATAGGTTGAAGACCAACCACGTTGGACGATAGGTGAAGTCCAAATTCAGCGATGGCTGAAGACTATCCAGTGATGTCTAACACGGCGAGACCTATCTTTGTTGCTACGATGGATTCCTATGGAGCATCCAGGAACAAGCATATTCAATCAACACTTCAGGGATTACTTCTTTGTGTTAGGTCTCAACTTGAAGCACTCTCTGTTACGTTCACTGAATCCTTCCCCCTCACTCTGCATCATCTACACTGTGGATGAGGGGCAAGCTAATTGAAATGCATATAATCTCGTAAAAATGATGTATTATAACACTTGCATGGAATCAGGGAACGGGGCTAAAATAGGGTCATGTATTAACGTTGCTCGTCCATCGGCTACAAAAGCCTAGAAATAAACTCGGGAACTCATCGATTCATCCGGTAGGAAATTTACAAAAAGTTTTTGTTATGCTCGTCTTGTAATGTAAGCGACACATATTAAGCGTTCAATAAACGACTACTTAGTTTTCTATAAATCTATTTTAATTGTTTGTATTTCATTTTGGAATTCGTTATCCCATCTCAAGTATGTTATTTGAGCCCTGCTAAATTCCTTATGCTACGGTATTTTTGGGACTGTTTGGCAGTTGCTGAATGGTTTTGTGCAAAATGATTAAGTGGTCAGAATGATTAAAAGACTCTTATAATATAGTGCAAAATGAAATATAATTGTTTGGTAATTGTGTACAATGAAATTAGGGCTCTTAATGGTTAAGGGAGATCTAGAATACAAAATTATTCAGGGGGTTTTAGAACCATTAAGAGGCAAACTTTTTTTTTTGCCAAACAAGATTCACCTCTTAACGATTCAGAAGTTGCCTCTTAATAGAACTATTAAGAGATGCACAAATAACCTTTTTGTCTTCTTTTATTCCATTTTAGAAGTAACATATTGTTGTAGAAATATGTAAAGAATATGATGCATATCAGCAACACGGTACCGGAGCGACTTTCGCTCACTAGGTTCATCTGATTTCTGTTATTGATTCTTTAGTTCATCAAAATGACTCGATAATAAAAAATTAGGAATAAAAATATAAAAGAATACGTACGAGTGATCGAAGGTATGTGTTATTTCACGAAGAAAAAAACTAAACCGTGAATCAACCCTCTAAATCGAACTCTCCGAGATGAACCGAACGATGAGGCAATAGTGAAAAGGGAGGTTTGCAAGGCGACGTCGGTATCTATGGGAATGGAAGCAGTCGACACGCTTCGGATATCACTCTTTTTTTATGGGAACTTTTACAAACATGTGGTTTTTTCGATCCATACTTTTCTGGAATTGGAATAACAAATTCCTTGATTATGTTTGGTTCACGGGTTGCATTGATTGAATTCCTCCGAATTTACACGGTTGAAGGATTTCAACTCCGTTTTGTAACAAATGTTATAATTTGGTTTTAAGAACACAAAGACAACTTCTGTTCTCCACCCCACCGCTGTTGTCATCATTCCACCACCCACCCCAATGCCAATGCCGCTGCCGCCACCATGCTACTACTATCGCCATCACACTTTCACCCACCAGCTCCATGACCCCCTACCACCCTCACTCACTCACCACCCCATTGTTGTCGGTGTCACAACGCCACCCACCCCAACCTCGACACCACCATGCCATAATTGTCATCATCCCAACCCCCAACACATGCGGACTCCAATTCTCTTGTGAAATTTCATTCCAATTCCTACCAACAAAACGCGTAGTCAAATTCTATTCCAATTCCACCACATTCCATTTTGTGAACCAAACACCGCTAAGAGTGTTGATAAAAGGTATTCATCTCACATTTTGACGTACCAGGCATCGGTAACTAATTCGTGCAAATTTGTTGTATGAATCAGGAGCAAGTGGTTAACCATGGTAGGTGCAGGTAGAATGAGAGGGTAGAAGATATGATATTTTCTGATTTAAGGTAGAAGAAGTCTCAGCAAAGTGTTCAAATTTCCCTCCATAAGATGGGTTTACATATTCTTTTCTATACACAAACCAACCTTCCCCTCCCTCCATTTCAAACAACAGGAACCTGATTATTGTTACCTTTGATTCTCGCAGGAGACGAGACATGTCGTGCAAGCGGAAATTTCGATTTCGAAATCTTTGAGTTGCCTTCTCGAGGGTATGGATAAACCGTCGCCAGTTCCCTCACACGACACAAGATCGACTTTGGTAATGGCCGCCATGGCTGGCTCCGTTTTTGCTCGTCCTACAATTACAATAACACTTAGTCAGGGCCTCTTATTGGGACTTGCAGCTTATTCAGTCAGCTATTCAAGACTGTTTGGTAGTGGCTAAATATATATAAAGTGACTTATTCAATAAGCTTCTAGGAGGAGCTTTATGCAGAAAGCGAAGTTTTTTCAAAACGTGTCTCTCCCTATACAGTCAGCTCTATCCATACAGGACTTGATAAAAAACCAACCACACAGCCCCTCTAACACCAGCCAAAATTATGGACGGAAAGAGGAGAAAAACGGACCTCAATCCTGCTGCTTCCATTTAGTGCACGACTTGCTTTCAAAAGATTTCGCCATTTGTCCTGTTAAAATATAACGTTTGTTCATAGCTAACTCTTGTACGTAAAGATATACGGGATGATGAAAGATATATATACCTTCAAATCTACAGGCGTTCGGTGAACCGATGTCGAAAAAAGCAACTTTTTTATATGAGTCCATTTCCCTACCCCAAAATGAGCAACACCATCAATCAACTTCTTTACTTCCGAAACACTCCAAAGCCGATGATGCTTCCGTGGATTGCCACCCGATTCGGATTTCATCATCGTCTCTGAATCATCACTCGAATAACTCTCCATCCTATTCTCGATCTGCAAAAAAACAACATATTTTTCAGGTTACAAGACTCCCAAAGTTCCGTATATTGTAATACTTTCAAGATCTTTACCATAGGTGGTGAATTGTTTTGCTGGCATTCCGTTGGCCCTTGAGAAATAAACGGTACTTGAATAGCTTTCCCGAACGAGATTCCAGAAGTCGGCAACTTTTCTTTAGGCTCCACCTCGTTTTGAATCTTGGGACGTCGAATTTTCGATATTTTAACTTTCGACACTGAAGAAGCCTCTCTTCTCTTCTTACAGTTCCTTAGATCTAGATTTGACGACTCATCAATGTATCTCTTTGTAGGCTTACGCGATCTTTTGTGCGTGACCGAACCAACGCCACCATGATGATCTTGATCAGGTACATCTCGACAAATAGTGCTTACTTCCATTCGGTTTTGTGCAAAACGAGGTGGTGGATTATCTTCCTTATTTTCTTCATATATGAAAGATTTTGAGAAGTCTCCGAACCTATCTACAGTTTTCGATTCAGATGATGATCCAAAAATGCAGTTGCAGTTATAGCTATGGTGCATGTCACACATTGTCTTGCCGATGAAGTAATTGTCGCATTTGGATCCTCGAATGTTTTCCGTCAATGAACTTCGTATTCCGTAACTACCCTTGTCGTGAAACATCGGAAACCGACTTTCAGAACTACAATTCCCGACATGCAAACCTTCATTGGAACCATAGTCTATACAGGATCCATGCTCAACATATCCAATATCTACAGTAAACACATAAAAATTCGGTAGCAACGTAATGTGAAACGGATATATTTAGAACAAAAAAAGGATGATCTCAAGAAGCACCTAAGAGATAATCATCGCAAGCGGAAACACCATTGGCCGCTAAAAGATTTTCGACTCCAACTTCATGTTGCAAAACATCAAGTGCCTAAAAACATGCTATTTCATAAAGATCAATACAACAAATATGGATAGTACTAACGCGTGAAAGAGAATTGTGGAAGGTTTCTGGGTTTTAATTTGACATGGGTAATTTAGTAATTTACCAATAATGAGACACGTATTATTTTGGTTAACAAACAAGAAGTAAACTAATTGATACAAGAAACACGATATGCCAAATAACATGAGATGGAGGAGAAGACATACGTTAAGCTTTGTCGTATCTACACATTCCGCGTTTAAGTTTGAATCCGGGACACCTTTATAAGAAGTCAAAAGCAACTTCCATCAAAAGTCAGAAAAAGTACCGTGTAACAGCGAAGTTTGCATCTTGGTATGATGGTACCAACTAAGTTGGTATGGTCGGTATTCATGTTGGTTGGTTTGGAATGGTACGAATTTGACATCGCTAGCTCTAAAAAGATGATATATAGTTAATTCACAATAAATGGAGTTGGGGAAAATACCTAATTTGTAGGGAGCATCTTCAGTTTTTATGCATTTCCCGTGATTATCTTCATCGAAACACCATACACCACTTACTGAAACTTGATCAGACCGTGGTTCGACAAGCAGACAGTCAACAATTGCTTCTTCCTCCAAAGAATGATATAATGATTCTTCTTCGACCTGTAAAAAGAATAACATAAGAAAACCCCGCGATAAAAAATTACATATTCACGAAAGATAATTGCTCGTTGTTATTATTTCAATATCATACAACATCGAGATATAAAACAACTGGTAGAAACAAAAGTGGAGTGTTGGAGTGTTTCTATCGATCAACTATGTGTTTTGAATTCTATTCTTGCAACTTTTGCATAACTGCGAGGACTTGTGTTTTAAGATGACCAATGAGCGATTCGAGACAACCTTCTTTTTACTCATTCACATTATTGTTACTGTTAGGTCCCGTTCGGTTTGTAGGATTTGAAGGGATTTGGAGTTCAATTCCACCAATCCCATGTTTGGTTTGAAGGATTGCTTGGATTTAAAATCCCAGGATTTCATTGAAATCCCCAAAACATGGAATTTAGAAATCCCATGGGGGCTGTTGGTATTTCGCGGGATTTCATAGAATCTGTGTGTAATAATGTTTTAAAATATGTTGAAAACATTTGCTTTATAATAATCAATTAATAAAAAAGGTACTTTAATTTTTTTATAAAGAACGGAATTCAACCCCATTCTAAATACTACAAATCAAACACACCAAGATTCCAAATCCTTCCACGAGATCCAAATCCCTCAAAACCATTCCATCAAACCAAATGCCCCTTAGTGAATTTCTTCTATCTCTTGATTTCCACATGAATGTTGTTTCATAGCCTTTCAGGATTTTTTTTATTGATATCAAAAGAAAGGGGCATCGAAACCTGCTCCTTAGTTTGCCAACTTTCAGTTTCTTCCGGATAGAAGACTGTTAGTAGATTGAATTATGTTCCTCATCTGTTTCCAATTAGGGTTGCACATGGGTTGGGTTGGTTTGAAGCCGTTTGAACATGCCAACCCAATTAGTGCGGTTTGAAAATCTCAACCCTTTTAAAAACTATTTAAAAACCCCGAACCCAATCCAACCCGTGTGAGGTGGGTTGCTCGGATTGTAGCATAATAGCAACATACTTAAACAACTACCGGTTAATTGACCATTTATGCTACATAGAGAACAAAGAAAAAGCCAGACAATCACCAAGAAAAAAGTTCACAATTCTTGCAAATAGCAGTCAAAATGGCAGGTAAGAAATATGATACAATTATGAAAAGAGCTAACCAGTTGTTTGCCACGGTCATCCAGAGCAAAGGCAACACTAACGACATGTCTACAAGAAGATGCATATAACATAGAAGATAGTTATCGAGTTCATCGAGTTGTGTTGGTTCTAATAACTCTAACCCAATTCCAACACAAGACCTTCCCTTCAAAGATCTCACAACTCAATTAGGCATCGGGTGGGTCGGGTTTCTGTGCACCTATTTCCAATGTATTCCGCAATACCCTTTCGAAACCTCATATTCACATACTTGTAGAACAAACTTCCAACTTCTGAACTTGATTATGCAAATAATCAAGACTAAAATTCCCACTAAGAGACACCCACCCACCCACATAGAAAAACATCTTCAAATGCCCATTAAAGCATCAAACACAACTCCATTACCAAAACCCCAAGTGAAATTCTACAAGATCATAAACACAACATCAACGATTTCAAGAATCGCAAGCATACACTGCAGAAAATTAGCATATAAAAACAAGAAAATGCGAATTATAGAAAAAACCCACATAGAAAAACGACTAAAATGGGGGCATTAAACACAGCTCCATTGACAAAACCCTGAAATTAAATCATACAAGAGTGATGATACCAACAATAATGCAAGTAGAGAAAGAAAAGGTGACCTGATTCATCAGTACGATGAGCGATATGAACTTACTGTACTGAAAAGAAAAGCCCTAATTGAGCGAATTCCGTCATGGAATTCGGAGTTGAAGAAATGGGAAAAAAACACAGAGGATAATTGGGGGGAGTTTATTATTGGACGGAATCGAAATGTTTTGTAGGAAATCGGAATGGAATTTGTGTTTGGAATCCGGGTGTGGCGACGCGTGTGGGAATCAAACGGACAGTGACCACCGTTTGCTCTCCACCTGCTTCCAGATTGCTTATTATTTAACCGATCGATTATGACAGCTGTCTCTTGGGTCCCACCTTCTTTATTTATATTTCTTCCTTAAAAACACACACACCGTACCATATTTTCCTTAATTTTTTAATCAAATAAAAACAACGCACATTTGGTAATTACTATTATATTTAATATATTTAATTAGAACGTAGTTATGTTAAAATAACAAACCGTAAGGACTAACATTGTAACTTTTAACAAACTACAGGGACTAAAAACAAAATTTATACTCAGAATAGACTAGAGTCATACATGATCATTCTGATGCGATTTGCCACACACGTATAAAACGGGAATAATCGACATCTCCGATCCCTAACCAGTCGCCGGCCGTTTCTCCCGGCCATCTCTCCTCCGACAACCATGGTCGTCCTTCCGTCTTCAATCCATCACCAATCATCTCTACCAAACGCAATGACAAACACACCTCCATTGACCAACATCCTTCTCTTTTGTCAACTCAAACTCATACAACTTTTGGTCAAAATTCCTTCGCCATTTCAAGATTTATCCCCATCTGGGTGGGTCCTAAAACTTGACCAATTTGAACCTAAAAAACAAAACAGGGTGATTGCTATTTGATTCCCAAACTGATTCATCGTTTTTATCTGAGCAAAAAGGAGTCATGAATTCGACTACGAGAAAATGAATGGTGAGAAGAGGGTGGTGATTGCCTCTTGGGTTGGATGCTTGATCATCATTCTTGTTTTTGTGGGTTACTTGCCACGTTGTGTTTGGTGTCAAGATGACGCCGATGATGATGCTCCTCGGAACAACAAAAGACCTAGGATTTCACCATTGTTTTCGAATCTTATTTCGCAGAGATTTAACAAGTCGATTAGGATATATAAGGCTTCAATTCAAAGAACCCTACATTATTGCACTGAAGATGTGTGAGTACCCCCACCCAGTAATCTGTAACTGCCAATCTCATCTCTTCTACACATTTGCGATTTGCTGGCTTTCTAACCTTTATTATGTTGTAGGGAAAAAGATATCAATGGAGCTTTCAACTTCAAAGGGAAGGACGAATTTTTCAGAAATTGTCAAGTGAAGTTCATAGGTACTACGCCCTTTTTTTGTTTTGATTGGATAATTCCACCATTAATGGAAGTAAAATGTCAAAAGAAGACATACCAACACTTGGTTGGGAACTCTGTTTTCTTTAAGTGCTTAATGATTGAATTCTTTAATGGTTCATGGGCTTTGCCTGAAATTGTTCAGAAATTGTCAAGTGAAGTTCACAGGTACCACACCCCTTTTCTATTTTGATTTTATAATCCATAATTCCACCATTAATGGAAGTAAAATGTCAAAAGAAAGATAAGGAATTAGAGCTAGTTCTGATGGAATACTAACACTTGATTGGGAACTCTGTTTTCTTTCAGCCATATGGAAATCTTTAGGTATATGGCCATTAGTCTTTAAGTGCTTAATGATTAAGAATTCTGTAATGGTTCATGGGCTTTGTCTGAAATTGATAAACATCCGGGGCTGTTCTGTTGGTTTTCATTAAGTCATGTATGAATAAAGTTGTCTGAGTGGATTAATCTGTCTGTATAAACTTGGAAGGTTTTTGTTTAGGTGGGTTTTTCCATAGATGGAAGGAGCATGTATTTTAATTGGGTGGTGCAGGTTGGCGAAAAACTTGGCTTTCTGCATAAAGCTACTGAATAAGCCACTTTCTATATCATTAAGCCACTACCAAACAGTCATATATAGCTGTGCTGTCAGTATTCAGTCCCATTAAACTCAATAAGCCGCTAACAAACAGGCAGTTGCATTTTTTCCTAGTCTTGACTCTTGACCATGTATTCCTTTATTCACAGATCTCTCGAATAGATTATGTACCGCAGCAGAACTTAGAGCATACTTCACAAGTTTTATAAAGAAAGTTGATGATGACACAAAAAGCATTTCACAAGCTCATTTCTTAGAACCGAATAGAAACTGTAATCTGACCTCCTGGACTGGCGGATGTGAGGCGGGATGGGCTAGTGCTGTCAATCCAGATCAGAAATATGAGTTCAATGAGACAAATCCACGTAAAATGCCTTTCAGAACAACTGATAGTCAACCATGTTGTGAGGGGTTTTTCTGTCCTCAAGGTCTCACTTGCATGATACGTAAGTCTAATGTACCAACTTCTTTAAATATATATTGTTACAATCACATTCTCTTTTTGCTTTTTATGCCCTCTATTTCTTGACCTGTTTCCTCTTGGATTGAAGTAACTAGAGAGTTACAGTTTAAGAGGATGCATATTAGAATTTGTGTAGCATAAAGTTTAGTCAATAAACCTACACGCAATGACATAAAATTTGCAGATTTTCCCGATACTTACTTCATTTTTCTGTCACTGAAGCATGCCCGTTAGGTGCATACTGCCCAGTTGCAAAGCTGAACCGACAATCTGGATTTTGCGATCCGTAAGTTATTATGCTATTTTGGTCCTGTATTTATGATCTTTTTGAGATTCTTTTATGGCTTATATGGATCACTAAGAGATAAGTCGTTAGAGAAAATCTGCAGATATCACTACCAACAACCTGCAGGCAAGCCAAATCATACTTGTGGTGCAGCCGATATGTGGGGTCCTGTACAGATGGGTAGCGATATATTCTGTCAGCCAGGATATTATTGTCCAACAACCGTTGACAAAATCGAATGCCCAAAAGGGTATTACATTATACTTCCACACAGTGAACTGAATCTTAAGTTGATGCTTCTGATATTCTTTTTGTAAAGCGTAAGTTTCTATTTGGTTGCAGACGCTTTTGCAGGATGGGATCTGTGAAGAGCAAGCGTGAGTTCTTGATCTTATTCTTTAAAGATCGAAACTTTATTATGTTTGCATAACAATATGTTGTTTGCATAGCATATAAAGACTTGTTTGCTGTCATAAAACTGTATTGAGTTATGTATGGATAAAGTTGTCTGCGTGGATTAATTTGTCTGTATAGATTGGGAAGGTTTTTGTTTAGGGGGGTTTTCTCATAGATGGATGAGCATGTTTTTTAATTGGGAAGAGCAGGTTTGGAAAAAAAAAATTGGCTTTTTGCATTAAGCTCCTCCCTAGAAGCTTACTGAATAAGTCACTTTCTATATCATTAAGCCACTACCGAATAAGCTGTGAGTCCCATTAAGCTCATTAAAGCTGCTAACTAACAGCCCCTTAGCATAACATCTGATGTATCTGCAGCTTGCTTTGCTGGATCTAGGTGCGAGAAGGGAACAGATATTCCAAGCATGAAGGTTTTTGGGATCATGCTCATTGTAAGTAATTGATTGTTTCCGAAGGTTTCTGTATGTTATCTGTCGAAATTGATACTTATTGAACTAGCGGCCTTTCGTCTCTTTTTGTAGGGTTTGTTGACGGCTATACTAATTGTCGTGTATAATTGCTCAGACCAACTCATGTCAACTCGGTATGAAAGACAGGCAAAATCCCGGGAAGCAGCAGCAAGGCATGTACGAGAGACAGCACAAGCAAGAGAAAGATGGCAGGCTGCTAGAAATATGGCCAAGAAACCTACAGGCTTGCAAGGGTTGCAACAACATCTTTCACAAACATTTTCAAGAAAGGCTAGTGCAAGACACGATCTAAAATCGAAAATACCCAATCCATTTTCAACAGGAAGTAGAAGGGAATCAGACAAACTCACCGAAATGTTGCAATCGATGGATGATAGCTCGAGCAACAACGAAGACTTAAATTTGGAAATTGGAGATAAGAATCTGAAGAAGAAAAAGATTAAAACTAAAAAAGATCTTCAGACCAAGAGCCAAATATTTAAGTATGCGTATGGTCAAATAGAGAAAGAGAAAGCAATGCAGGAGAAGAATAAAAACATAACCTTTTCTGGATTACTGTCGTTGGCCAAACGCAGTGGTGAAGATATCAGGAAAAGACCGAAGATTGAGATTGCTTTCAAGGAGCTAACTCTAACCCTCAAAGGGAAACAGAAATGTATTATGAGGTCTGTTAGTGGGAAAATTATGCCCGGTAGAATATCCGCTGTTATGGGTCCTTCAGGAGCCGGAAAAACTACTTTCCTCTCTGCTCTCACCGGAAAGATAACCGGTTGTACTATGTCGGGAATGATTCTGATCAATGGAAAGAACGAGTCTATTCATTCTTACAAGAAAATTGTTGGTTTTGTACCTCAAGATGACATAGTTCATGGAGATTTGACCGTTGAAGAAAACCTCCGGTTCAGTGCACGCTGTAGGTATGCATTCTTACAAAAAAGCCATACTTTTTCTTGGTATTTCTTGCATCATCATGTACTGATTTGTTGTTATCTTTGCTGAATCCTATAATCTGGAGACTATCTGCTGACTTGCCAAAACAAGACAAAGTTCTTATTATTGAAAGAGTTATCGAGGCATTGGGGCTGCAGGGAGTAAGAGATGCCAAGGTTGGAACGGTCGAAAAGCGAGGAATTTCTGGAGGCCAGAAGAAAAGGGTAAATGTTGGACTGGAAATGGTCATGGAACCTTCACTGTTGATCTTGGATGAGCCCACTTCTGGTCTCGACAGTTCATCTTCCAGTTTGCTTCTCAGAGCTCTTCGGCGTGAAGCTCTTGAAGGAGTTAACGTCAGCATGGTCGTTCACCAACCGAGGTAACCTCCAACAGTTAATTTATAACTCCTCTACCTCCAAGATATCGGGTTCTTTGTATGTTGGTCATTGGGAGAAAGTTCAAATGAGAACCGGTATATGCAGGTAAGGGGAAAACGTCCAAAAAATGAAAAACTGAGAAACACCTTAATAACCATTCATCTGTATTGTATGCACATGTGCATACATTTTATTGAAGATGTTTTCTGGTTTCTATGCACTTGTGCCAGCTACGCATGTGCATACCAGAGAAATTATTTACAAATTACTTGTATGCATATGTGCATACAAGTAACTGAAGATGTTTTCTAGTTTCTATGCACATGTGCATACCAGACATAATTTACAAATTACTTGTATCACATCTGCATACAGTACTGATGAATGGTTACTAGGGTGTTCCTCTCCGTTTTTCATTTTTTCGTGGTTTTCCCTGAAACTGACCCTATGCAGATATGTAATGTATATCTACTGTATATGCAAGTATATATGCATTGGTGCATATGTACTCGCTGATATTCTTCTAGTGTATACATCAATGCATATACTTTTTTTCTAAACTTCCCCTTGGTCATTAGCCCAATATCCAAGTTTTAGACTGTTTGAAATGGGTGACAAAATTCTTCCTTCTTCAGCTACACATTGTACAAGATGTTTGATGACTTGATACTTCTGGCCAAAGGCGGTCTTACGGTCTACCATGGACCTGTGAAGAAGGTCGAAGAATACTTTGCAGGTTTAGGAATTACTATACCAGATCGTGTAAATACACCAGACTACTTGATCGATGTTCTCGAGGGTATAACAAAGCCAGAAGGAGATGTGACTGCTCAGCAACTGCCTGTAAAATGGATGCTCCATAATGGGTACAGAGTACCTCCAGATATGTTGCACCTCTGCGATCAAAGTGGAAATTCTTCCCCTCCAAGTGCCAGTGAATCCAAAAACAAATCGTACAATGGTGAAATTCAACGAGATGTTCCAACGTACAATTTCTTCACAACTCCAGACTTATCCGGCCGAGTAACTCCTGGAGTTTTTACGCAGTACAAATATTACCTTGAAAGGTAATTTTATTTGTCTATATTCTTTTTCACTTTCTTGAGTTCTTCCCGATATAATTTAAAACCCAAATATCACACTTGTGTCTTCAGGGTTTTGAGGCAGCGAACACGGGATGGTAGAGTACAAGCTGCAGATTACCTGATTCTTTTGCTTGCTGGAGCATGCTTAGGAACTATGGCTAAAGTGACTGATGACACATTTGGAGCTACTGGTTATCAATACACCGTCATTGCTGTATGTAAGTGGGGAAAAAGATAGAGAATTCCAATTACAGTTATCTGTAACAACTCTGTTTTAAGATATTAATATAATACTTACAGTTAATATAAGATATATAGGTTTAAGATATTAGAGGGAGGTTCAGGGGAAAACGTCCAAAAAAATGAAATGAGGAACACCCTGGTAACCACTCATCTTGACGGTATGTACATGTGCATGCAAGTAATTGAAGCTCTTTCTTTGTTTTTATGCACGTGTGCATGTTATGCACATGTGCATACTGGACAAATTGCTTACAAGTTACTTGTATGCACATGTGCATGCCGTCCGGATGGACGGTTACCACGGGGTTCCTCAGTTTCTAACTTTTTTGCCGTTTTCCCCTGAACCTGACCTCTAAGATATTAATATAAATACTTACAGTTAGATGCAACTATCTCTGTTTTGTAGCACTGTTATGCATGATTGGAGCTTTGAGAACATTTTCGCTGGATAAATTACAGTACAAGAGGGAGAGCTCTAGTGGCATGAAGAGTCTATCTTATTTTCTATCGAAAGATACAATGGACCATATAAACACATTCATGAAGCCTCTAGTTTATCTTTGCTTGTTCTATTTCTTCAACTATCCAAGATCAAGCTTTGGATCCAATTATATAGTTTTGGTTTGCCTCGTTTATTGTGTGACTGGCATAGCCTATACACTTGCCATCTCCCTCGAGTTTAGTCAAGCCCAATTGGTATGTAATCTTGACCAGCACCAATAGATGGGGAAATTTTCTTACTTTGACCCTTCTATTGTTGAGTAAAAGCATTGGTCACAGTGCTACTAAAGTATCAGTTTTTGGACAAAAAGTTGTTGAAACAGAAAATACAATAGCCAAGAAGAATTTAGTAGTAGAGTGAATGAAGATATTTTACTCAATAATGCAGGAATGAAACAAGTATTCATTTTTCTCTAATAAACGTGTATATTTTACTCAATAGATGGGGAAATTTTCTTACTTTTCTGCAGTGGTCCGTGCTTCTTCCTGTCGTTCTGACCCTCATTGCAAATCAGAACAATAAGTCTGCTGCTTCAGTTATAACACCATTTGTCTTCCCTAAGTGGGCATTGGAAGCTTTCATTATTGCAAATGCAAAAGAGTACATTCTCTAGCCCTTACACTTGGACATGTTGAATAGTTGCTTGGCTTTTTGAAGCAATCCGGGAATGTTAGGGGCTGTTAGGTTGGTTTTTCATTAAGTCCAGTATGGATAAAGTTGCCTGTGTCGATTAATATGTATGTATTGATTGGGAAGATTTTTGTTTGGGAGGCTTTCTTGATAGATGGAAGGAGCATGTTTTTAATTGAGAGGGGCAGGTTTGGAGAAAACTTGGCTTGCTGCGTAAAGCCCCCCTAGAAGCTTACTGAATAAGTCACTTTCTATATAATTAAGTCACTACCAAATAATCATGTATAGCTGGCTGAATAATCTGTGAGCCCATTAAGCTCATTAAGTTCATGAAGCTGCTAACAAACAGACCCTTACACTCCAAATGTTGATATATTTTTTAGCTTGCAATACATTATTGAAATGGAGTGTGGACTAAGTTCTTCATATGGTCATCATTCCATTCTCGAAAACAGATCATGTTACCAATATTCATTTTTTGTAGATCTTTAGCTTTGCTAGATGCATATGTATTCAGAAATGGAAAATACAACCTGCCATGTTCATTAAATCGATCTCGGGTCTACTTTTCAGGTACAATGGTGTTTGGCTGATGACTCGCTGTGCTGCGTTGAAGCATTATGATTATGATATTCATAACTCGAACAGATGTCTTTGGTTACTTGTGGCCACTGGAGTAGGTACCCGTATTATAGCTTTCATTTGCTTGCTCACTAGGCAGAGATAATAGTATAAATCTTTTAGCAGCGTTCGCTAGTTTTTTTTTTTTTTTTTCAAGTTAACTAGATATGAAGCCCAAGATCCAATCTTTTGTATATTCTTTCTTGTCAGAATTTCTGGATAGATGCTAAAGAGGTCTCAAATGAATTGTATCACACTAGCTCATATTGAATCATACAATTTGAATGAATAGCGTGATTGAAATGACTAACGTACCAGAAACCTTACATGTAAGTCTTTTCTTCTCTGCAATATCTTATATGTTCTTGATATCGGGTATCTGAAGCAACCGAGTGGTCATTTCATGAATTTGGTCCTGGAGTATAATTAGTTAACCTCTATGTTTAGTTGGGGGTGGTGGATTTCTTCTAATCTGATCAAAATTTGAGTCATTTTAGGCCTTTTGTCAGGTGCTATATCGGTACACTCGAGGGCTAACTCTGCGAGCTTCAACATATCTTCATGCCCGTCTTTATCTGCTAATATTTCCAAGTCAAATATGTCCATTGACCAGTCTGCATTCACAACACCTCTAACCCAATTCGAAAGATCCTCGTGATTATCCCCTGGTACTTTCCCTGTGATCACCTCCAATAGCAAAACCCCAAAACAGTAAATGTCTGCTTCGTGTGTCAGCTTCTTTCCTTCCATGAACTCAGGGCACTTCACGATGGTCAATCTCTCTGAGGACTTTCGCGATTGTAGGAGTGGAAAGTAGCCGAAATCCGTGAGCTTGGCTTGTGTGGTTTCGCCCGCAAAGTAGACAAGTACGTTTGACGATTTGAGGTTTCCGTGAGCCACTTTTTGAGAAGATAGAGATTGGTTCAAGAAAATTAAACCCTTTGCTACATCCTTCAAGATTTGTACCCTTGTTGTCCAATTCAGTGGAATTCTCCCAATTCCTCTACTTTCTGCACATTTCAAGAACAAATGGAGTAAGGAATCAAAGAAAGTTATATGGGCACACAGAGAATGTTGACCACGAACCGTGTAATAACTCGAATAAGCTTCCATCTTGGACGAATTCATGAACTATCAACTTCTCTTCTTTTGAGTAGTAAAAGGAGATGATTTCCACAAGGTTTTGATGCTTCAACTTTCCAAGCAACTGCATTTGTTGTACAAAGTCTTTCCTGCTCAAATAATTCATTTCTTTGACTCGCTTCACAGCGATGGTCAATCCTGATTCTAGCGTCGCCTTGTACGTGGTGCCTAGTTTCCCCTTTCCAAGCACTTCGGCCGACGCCCTTAGCAAATCATCCAAGTCGAAAATTGGCTTATGTTTGTTGAAGAACTCCATATCTGCTGTTCTTTCTGGGTCATCAGTACTCCTCGACCATTGACCTTTTCTTACAACAACTTCATTAGGATGCTCTGTGCATAAAAGAATAGAAACAATTAAGATTAATCACCTTCAGAGGAAATTAGTCGAACACCTTGCATGCATATATAAATCCTACATACCATCTTCCTTCTCTTTCTTGGTGTCTTTTCTTCTGTAACAACAAAACAAAACGAAAATCACGAAAAACGGCACGATTGCAGCCGCAGCCGCAATCAACACAATAGTCCATGCTTTAAGAGGTTTCTTCTTGTCTTTTGGAGGTGGGGGAGAAGGAGAAACAGGGCATGGTATCTCCAGAGACTTCCCGCACAACCCTGCATTATGATCAAACGAATCACGGGCGAATCTATCTAACACTTGTGTTTCCGGGATCGGTCCAGAAAGCCGATTGTAAGACAAATTAAGAGCAGTCAATGACTCCTGATCAAAAGGAGGGATTTCCCCTGTTATCTCATTTTCCTGAAGTTGAAGTGTAGTAAGCTTCGGAAGGTGGATATAATCCCATGGAATTGGACCAGAAAAGCGATTTCCGGAGAGGAATATGGATTCAAGTGACATGAGATTATCGAGATTTGGAAGAGGTCCGGAAATAGAATTGTTGTGAAAACTAAGCCTCGTTAAGAAAGTAACGTTCTGTAGGAACGCAACCGGGAGTGATCCCGTCAGATTAATTGATTCTAGAGTCAGGTGGGTGATATGGGAATTGGTACAACCAATTCCCTCCCACCTGCTCATATTATTCCGACACGGGGGTCCAGTCCAATTCCCATGTAAGTTGGAACTGGACTTCATAGAGTCCCGAAATGGAATCAACGCGTCCCTCTCTTCATCATAGAATTCCCGTAGCACCGTGTCAGACTTAACGAACACGAATACGGTAAGCATGAGTTCGATAAACAGAAGTTGATAAACTTTGGCTAGACAACAACCCATGGCAGTTGGGCGGTTGCAGGGCGGTGGACGGTGGTGGATGGTGGTGGAGGATGGTTTTACAGTAAAGAATGGAATGTGAAAGAGATGGAAGGAAAGTGATACCTTATTTCAACCAATGAACTGATCATTAATATTGTCACAGTTACAACTCAACAACGTACGCAACAATGTAAAATGGATTAAAAGATGCTTTTGATTTTGATCATGAATTTGGACGTTTGCTGTGATTGGGATTTCTTGGATTTTCTAGAAATGTATGGAATTAAAAATATCTGTAAAGGTCGGATATGAATACGACGTAAAAAAAGTTTGATTACCCGTAACCCAGATCGGTCCCATATTAAACCTGCCTTCTAAGAACCATGTGTGAGAAGACATTTCTGAACTGACTCGACAGTTAAGACTAGCAGAGGGATTCAAATCTGTTGAATCCATCGTGAATTTGAGCAAAGTTGTTTTGTCGAAACAACTTTGCTCAAATTTTGATGAAATTGTGGTTGACGTGGCGTTGAAAATAATATGAAAAGGAAATTAAATGTAGAAAAAAAGGAAGTAACTGTTAACAGCTTTGCTTGACTTTCAAATCTTTGTTGGTTGTTGTTGGGGTTATCTTTGGAATCAACTCCATCGACAACTTCACAACACATAATTCTATTTAAACAACGTTGTATTCGATTTTTTTTTTTCTTGTTTTAAGTAATTTTGTAATTGATTCCGACATGTTAATCGACGGATCAATTTTTTATTCGTTTGGTGTTCCGGACCACTTTTAACTTTGGTGTCGTTCAACTTAAATATCTGTAATAATTACAGGTGTTTGTGGTACAGTTCAATGCTAAACTGCAAACCATATTGCATATGCAGTTTGAAGATTTTTTCAAACTACAAACAACACGATAAAAAATACTTTGTGATTTACCGCTTCTATTTTGAAGGTTACGAAAAGAAGGGTTGATATCATTGTATTTCTATTTCTTTACGATTGCATAAAATATTATCGATTATAATTGTCAATTACAGTATTTTTTTCATTTTAATTTTTGATGAAAAAACTAGCATAATGAGATGGTCAATTTTAATTAGAATTACACAAGAATGATATAATAAATACAATTATAAAAATATAATGGTAAATTACATGAAAAAGTAACGTACCTTGACTTGATTCTCATTTTGGGCATAGCCATTTTGGTACCTAAGATGTAAAGTTTTAAACATTTAAGTACTCATGTAACCGGTTGAAGCATTAACTAATTACCATGCTGATGTGGCGAATGATGCGGTATTCGGTTAATGCTTCAGCAAATAATACTGAGTTGGATACCACATCACTCGCCACATTAACATGGTAACCGGTCAATGCTTCAACTGGTTACCCAAGTACTTAAATGTTTAAAATTTTACATCTTAGATACCAAAAATGAAAGTTTTGAAAGTACGTTATCCAAAATAAAAAATCAAGATAAAATACGTTATTTTTTCATACAATTTACCCTTAATAATAAAAAGGTATGCCAGGATCTTTACATAAAAAGCAAGATAAAGCTTTGTTTTAGAAAGAGAGCATGCAGATATCAAAGGGCTGAATTATTAAAGCACATGGTCATGGTGATGCATCTTATTGGTCCATACCATTATAACATCACCTTTCTGTTATTATCTTATATCAACATTTTATAAATCTTTTCGTTTCATAAAACACATCCACAATTATAAAACTCGTACAATTTCATAACTGGGTCATGTATAGTTAAAGATAACGAAAATCAAACAAATTAACGTAAGTAACATCATGTCTTCTGAATCATGCAGACGGTGCTTATAGTCGAATTCAGACCTCCCACTCGTTTTACAAGGACGCCCACCTCGTTAAGCCGTAGGGACGATATCTTAACCACACACCTATATTACACCAAGCAACGACCTTTCAAGGTGGCTGCTACCCATCTTTTTCTATCATTTGCTTATTTACATGATGAAGTGTGTTAGAAGAGAAGGTACCTTCTTCAGATTCGACCATTGATCTGCTTGCACGATGAAGTTCGCTTAAGCAGCCAACGGTGATTAGGAACTGGAAACAAGAATGATTTAACCGGCATCAGATACAACACTAAACAAAAACGTTGAACTAAGTACCAGTCGATCTACGTAGCAGAAGAATATATTCCAACTTGAAAATTTGGTTATTTCAGAGAGCCAATCATGGAGATTGCATATCGAATCTTGGATGGACATGGATGATTAAGATAATCAAGAAACCCTTCGTTATTTTAGTTATGACCCGTCAGACCAGCTCTGAAGGCACAAATATACACCGAGCCTTCACAGCAAAAACATCGTAAAGGTATAAAAACGAACTTCAAAAGAGTTTTATCAAGGTTAACGTTTTTGTTGGGAAGGTTCAATGTCTTTTTGTACCTTCATAGTGTTTTTTTTCTTTTTTTGATTAACCTGGATATCCATCCCGCTATGCGAGCCGACTAATCCTAGGGCGACCACCTGCTTTGCAGATAACCCAGAGTCTGAACCTCCGTGACCACAAGGGGATTTTTATTCCTCTTTGGATTTGAACCTGAGACCTCCTGATACTTTTGGCCTTTGGAGCCAAGTTCAAACCAATCCGGCATTACGGATCTCACAAATCAGGATGGTCTTAAATGGTCCCAAGTGCCGCTCCAAATCATTTTTGGAACCATCTTTTACTTAGATTTCAATTCCAATAACAAATCATTCTTCATAAACTTCGCAATAACGACTACATTGGACATAATACACGCAAAAATACACAGCCAGAACACCAAACACGATGATACTAATCCATCACACGACAAACGAACCATTCAAACCCTAATATTTAAACATGACACTGAATCGGTAAACCTTTAAGACAGAAGAAATGTGTAGAGCATGTTTTTATGGAGTCTGATCTACGACAGATATAGTTATGCGTATCAAAATTAAGCAAATTCGAATCAATTATTAAATTTAGGATTAATTCCAGTAGTGAGATTGAATTATGGGATGGTAGAGAAGAGAGATTTATCTCAAGTTAGATAAGGAAGTTAGGGTTTCAACCTTAAGGGTAAGAGTAGAAACAGCAGAAACAGCGGCAACACCGTTTGAAGCAGGTACAATAGAAGTAACGAAAAGGTGATCGACGTGAGTTTGATGCAGAGGTCTCCATTTGTTGGGGATGAGAATCGGCGACGGCGGAAGATGATCGGCCTTGCGGTGGCGGCAAAATCACGCTGGGTTTTGTTTGCTTCCAAATTCCAGGAGAATATGAATTCAGATTTCAGAGTGATTTGTGGATTTGGTAATGTGTTTTAATATCTTTTTAACTAACAAATAAGATTTTATTATTTAATTTGTTTAAATTTTGTTGTTTTTTATCATTATAATAAACAAATTTATTATCCATATTTTAATACTAAAATCATTGAAAGTGAACTCTAATTTTATCATTATAATTAAGGTTTTTAGTTTTCATATTGTTTTTTATTCAAAAACTCAAAATCAATTATTTAGATTTTGACCAAAGGAAAAATTTATACATATTATTATATTTGTAACTTAAAATTGAACAAATCTCTGTATAAACTTGAACCATGTTTTCACACCAAAATAGATAAAAATACTAAAAACAATAAAATTAAATCGTATTTAGTATAATTAATTTTTAATCAAACATCAAATCACAAAAACAATCATATGCGTGTGTGTATATATATACATATATATATATGTGATACATATATATATATACACACACATATATATATACATATATATATATGTGATACATATATATATATATATATATACACACACATATATATATACATACATATATAGGGTTGGGTTCACGTGAGACCAGCTTGTTTTCGTGAGACCCGTGAGACCACATTTTTACACGTAACCTTCACAGCAAAAACACTGGTGAAGGTTTAAAAAAAGTCGAACCTTCACAGCAAAAACACTGTGAAGGTTTAAAAAAAGTCGAACTTTCACAGCAAAAACACTGTGAAGGTTTTAAAAAGTCACCTTCACAGCATTTTGCTGTGAAGTTTCAAGTGTAAAATGTTGGTCTCACAAGTCTCACGAAAACAGGCTGGTCTCACATGATCCCAAGTCTACATATATATATATATATATATATATAGGGTTGGGTTCACGTGAGACCAATGGTTTTTCGTGAGATCCGTAAGACCAATTTATATTTATTGATCAACTTTATAAGTTAATGATCTAATGGTCTAAATTGCACGGTGGCAATTTTGTGATTATTGAAAAGTCTCGTGGCGTTTATGAATGTTTAGATTTTCATATTGTATATTTAATCCAAGGGTTAAGAATTGGTCTTACGGGTCTCACAAAAAACCATTGGTCTCACATGATCTCAAGTCTATATATATATATGTGTGTGTGTGGGGGGGGGGGGGGGGGAGGGGGGAGTTATTATGCAATCTTTTACATTTGTAAATACAACTCAATCTCACCGTCCATTTAATTTGATTAACATGTGATTTCATAAATGTTTTGATTGCATAGGTGATTGATATGAACATAAGATCAAATCGTGGCTTAGGGTTTTGGCAACAAATTCGAGTTTTGTGGGGACGAGTGTCTAGTGTGATCGGATAGTTCGTTTTAGGCATGTAAGAAATGGGTGCTTGAATTTACCATTGTGAAATGTCTTGGAGATTCCAGTGTTTTTGGATTTTTCAACAATTTTACCAGGATATTAGCAAGAAGGGGGTTGATATTGCCACCCCCTGCAGCACTTTCTACCCCCTGCACCTTGTCCCCTCTCTCACAACCTTCACCTCTCACACATCTCTCCCTCACACACCTCTCCCTCACACTCTCACACGGAATTCACTGTTGAAGAATTTTAAAAATTTAAATTTACATATTTTATCCCTATCATTAGTTAATTAATTTACTTTATATCTTTTCCTTTTAAATTTTTCATTTTATACTCGGATCAAATTAACATACATAATCGTATATCAATTAAAATATGTTTAAAAAATACGTTTTAATTTTAACAAGTTACACCATTATAATCGTCGCGTCAATACCTTTGAAATAAGCCCAATATTGAATATTTTTTGACTTAATATTTTTAATATTTAACATGAGAAATCAAAGTTTTAATTAATAAATTTAATTTATATTTAAAATATGTATTATTAATATTTTATTATTATATAGAACGTATTCTTACTCGTGAATATGTTGATTTAACATGAAAAATCAAAGTTTTAATTAATAAATTTAATTTATATTTGAAATATGTATTATTAATATTTAATTAATTAATAATAATATAAAACATGTTAAAAAAGTAAAAGGTTAAAAGTTAAAATATAAAAAAGTTAAAAATGAAAATATTAATTTTTGCCATTTAGTTGTTCTTTTTTTGTCTTTTAATATGGGGGTGTATAAAATTGTAAGGAGAGGGTGGGGTTAGAAAACCCCTAGCAAGAATTATCTGATTATTTAAAACACATAAATAATAAATTGCCTCGTCTGTCTAATTCCACCTCTAATTATGTAACAAGCATCTAAACACTTCATTTAGAGTAATCCAAAATAGTTACCTATAGGTTGCTTGCTCGAATAATACCAGTCATTCGACAATATAATTCTAAAGTGTCCTTTACAGCATAAGAAACCTTTTTAAACAACTGTGTTTTAAAAAGAGAAATAAACGGTTAAATGTCTCCCTCCTAAACCCTTTCTAGCCCACGTTTTTTTTTTCGTTAAGACCAAAATAACCAATATTTTGTAAATGCCCATTTCGTAACTTGCAACATATATATTTTGAGTTAAATATGATTTTGATGGATGGCTTCTGAAATATCCTTGGTGGCTTATGAAATAGGGGTGTCAATAGGTCAAATTGGGGTGAGTTCGAGTTCAACCTATATATTAAATAGGTTGAAAATCTCAACCCAACCAAACCTAATCTATTTAATCTCAACCCAACCAACCTGTTGCCTAAATGGGTTGACAACGGGTTAATTTGCTTATGATTTCCTCAACCCAACTAACCTGTTGCCTAAATGGGTTGACAAACGGATTAATTTGTTTATGATTTTCTCAACCCAACTTGTTAAATAAATGCGTTGGACCTGGGTTAACCCATTTAATTTTAAAATTTTAAATAGAAAAAAAAAGATTAGACTATTTAGTTCTATGAAAGTTTGAATAAACTACTAGTTACTATTTGCAATTAAAACTGGAACAATGAGAAGAAATCAGTGAGTTCCATTGATTTCGTACAACCGCACCGATTGAAATTTTGTGTGTTCGACGAGAGAAAGACGAGAGGCGGAGACCGATGAGGTAAACTATAGACTGTTTTTTCTAAGCATATAATTATATACGACAAATAAAACAAATAAACTCACACACCCTCCTCACATTTGGTGAGGTTTGAACCATTAACCTCCTAAGAGGTCAATGACTCACATACCACTGGGCCAAGCCCTTTGATAACTATTGACCGTTTTTGTGTTGTTCTGTTGGAGCTTTGGTGGCAGACGAGAGGGAGACTTGGAGAAGGACAAATAGATTATTACTTTATTGGGATTTCACAACCCGGAAACGAGAGGGTTTCAATGTTTCATAAACAATATTAGATATTATAATTAAAAATAAAATAAAATAAAAATATTTTAAATGGGTCGAAAACATGATGTAAACAGTTCAAAACTTCAACCCAACGCAACCCATTAACATTACTTTTTATATTTTAAATAAATTATAAAAAATTATTTAACACCATTCATATATTCTGGGCTAATTTTCATTTAAAAATATATAGAATTGATGACTAAACAAAATAGAAAAATGTACAAATATAAAAGCACAATGTACAAACATGTAATGCAAAGAGTAGAGTCAAAAACACAAATTATGCCATTTCAAACAGAAAACATAAAAGTGATGATGAAGTCTGCCTTTCGGACCGCATTAGTATTGACAACCACTGTCTGCCATCGTTCCTTAAACCCTAACCCCATCACCCTCCTCTCCCTTCGCACCGCCACCGCTTCTCCTCCTCCGAACTCCACCACCGTCACTTGCCGGAAAATTCACTGCAACAGTTTTTCATCTTCAATGGCAGGCGGTGACTCTTCCCCTACTGTCGCTGCCGTGGAGAAGCAGTTTGATGAGTTTCGTAACCGTCTTGAAGAATCCGGAAGCTTACGTGACCGCATTAGGGCTGTTGCGACGGAGATTGAATCGACGACGAGGATGATGTACTCTAGTCTTCTTCTTGTTCATCAATCTCGGCCGATCCCTGGTATTTGTTTATGTTTTTTAAAATTATAAATGTCTTCCGCTTTTGGTAATTTAGGTGATGTTCATGTGCTGTCTCGTTCTTGTTTTTTCTGGAACGGAGGGATGACATGTTAATTTGATGATACATTATAATACGTATAAAACAGGATCGATTTAGGGCGAAACCTGTGATTGGATGCATTGCGAGTTTTCTGAAAGCAATCCGCAGAACTATGCAGTAGTTTGTTTAACATGTCCAATTCAACTTAATTGGAACTAGCTGTTTTGCTATTTCTCTTAGGCCATAAGCAGGAGAGAGTTCATTTGATTATTGTGAACAATTGAAGATGGAGATTTAGAGTGTTTGGTAATTTACTCATAGTATTTCCATTATTTTTGCAAGGAGTTGTTTTTGATCCGAAAGTGACTTTCTGGTCCATTATAAGGGTGTAGGGGTAACCTTACTGGTCTTTCTCTTGCTCACCAAAGGAAAATGTAAATGAATTCAATGTATTTGTGAAGGACTAACAATAAATGCATTAGATAAAACTGACTTAAGACTTGGCATATACCCGTTTTAACAAATTTTGTTAACAGGAGTAATTTTGTTAACTGTAGTTGATATCATTTTGGAATCTAAATGTATGTTTTCATGTCTTGGTGATTTGCTAAACTATATGCAGTGCCACTGAACGATGACTTATTATATTTCCCACATGATGTTTTGAGTATTAAACTTGTTGGAAGTAGTCATCTTTGAAAGGGTTTTCATTTTTTTTTTTTGGTATTTTGGATGTTAGAACTCACTTAACCCAGCTGGAATTGGATAGATAATTCCTGGGTGTTAAAAAAGAAAGACATTTTTCATGAACATTTATTATACAGTTATCGTTGTCAATCAAATTAATTACCAACATTCATTTCTAGGGTGCAACTTATGCTGAATCTTTAGAAAGAAGCATTTTAGGAATGTTACCCAACGAAGGGTGTTTAAAATGAGATTGGCATATTCTTGGCTTATTCTTTCCTTTCTTTGTTACCATTAGAGGTTCTAGAGAATGCTAAGACCCAGATTGATGTACTGAAGCAGCTCTTCAGTAGTCTAGCAGAAATTGTTCGTGAAAGGCCTGGGCAATACTATAGGTGAGTGCAACAGTGGGAAATATATTTCATTTATTGATTTCATATTTACTTACTATTGCTTATTGGTTTTGCTAACAGGTATCATGGTGATTGGAGAACTGAGACACAACAGGTGGTCTCTCTGCTGGCTTTTATGCATTGGCTAGAAACAGGAAGCCTTCTAATACATACAGAGGTGGAGGAAAAATTAGGATGTAAGTTCTAATTTGTACTTTCTTTTGGTAGCGATAATAGGCAGATGTAAAAAATATTTTAAGGTGTTGATATAATTGTTTTTAGTCCAGGCACAGGAAACTAACTATTATGCTATATCTCTTGAGTCGGTACTTTTTTAAGGTGTTGATATAATCATCATAGTTAGGTATAGTAGGATATGAGATTAATTCATTCCGTATCAATGTGCTTGATTAAATTTCTGTTTGGTTGCCATACTATAAAAATCGTCATAAAAACCATCCAACTTAGAAGATTGTTTTGTTTTAGAACAATCGTTGTGGAGCCAATTTCTGTTTGGTCACCATGTGGGTCTGATCTGGTATTCAAAATTGTCCTTAACTATGTACTTTCCTGAACTTTAATTAACTTTTGAGAGGCTATTATATATACTGCTAATTCACCATGTCTCCCTCTCTCTCTTTTTCTTAACTTGTGCTTTACAAGCACATGATTAGTGCTATTGCTTTTGATGGTTCATGCAGTGAATGCTTCAGAGTTTGGCCTTGATGTTGAAGACTATCTTATTGGTGAGTGACTGAAGTTCTGTGTTTTTTTACTGGGCAAACATGTGGCAACAAACAAACTCGCCATCATTGTTTTGTCTATAATCAACTCTTACCAATTATGCACTCTCTCAGAAAAGGGGAAGAAATTGGTCAGTTATTGTTGCCATAGATTTGTTCTTTTTCATTTTACTGTTTTTCTGCATTGACTTCAAAGTGTAGGGATCATGGAAGTTCTTCCTTTGCTGCATACGTACTTTAGTTTGCTGCATAACTTGTATATGTTGCAATTTTACTAATCTACTTCCTTTTGCAGGAATTTGCTTTATGTCGAATGAGTTGGTAAGAATTTCACAGAATTTGATTATTTTGATGTGAATTATTGGCAAGTTTGTATGATACAATTGAACTGTGGTAATCAGTAGTTAATTACATAACCAGGGGGATAAACCTGATGGATGATCGTAAGTTAACATACCGCATGTGAAAGGCCAACTTTTATGAATTATTATGGTTTTCAAGAGCATTAACAAGTGGTGCATATCCATGACGGTTTTGGAAGCTATTTCATGAATTTGTAACATTAGTTGATTGCATTATGTTTATTAATATTCATCTATCTGTTGGAGTTACAGACTGATGTCTAAAACTTGACGCAAAAAATAGTTTTATCCAGATTATTTTGGCTTAAACTTAATACTCCATTCTTCTCAAATACATACAAACAATTTTCATTTTGGGTTGTCCCAAATAAGTGAAATGTTTCCTTTTTTGATAAGTTACCGATCCTCTAATAACTTTTGAAAACAATTTAGTTTTTGACATAATAATATCATTTTAATGAGCTGCAATGTGCAGGTAGTGTTCCCTTATGTGACATCCTTTCCTAGCTAGTAGTTAAACAAATGTATTTGACTATGTTGCTGTAATAATGGAATTTATATAACCAAGCAACTATATTTTGCAGCCTCGGTATGTCGTGAACCAAGTAACAGCCGGGGATTATGATTGCCCAAGAAAGGTCTTAAAGTTCTTAACAGACCTTCATGCTTCATTCCGCTTGCTTAATCTCCGGAATGATTTCTTACGCAAAAAGTTTGATGGTAAGTTATCTCTACATGCCCTCACTGGATAGTTTCTTCATGCATATATCGGTATCCATGGAAACATTTTTCCAGCTAAAGAAAATCTCAAGTAAATATATGGCAAACATCAAAGTTGTCACAAAAAAAACTCTCTTTTTTCCCTTCCCTTTGAAGATTGCAAATGTCGTTATAAGAAAATGTTTGTTAATCTTTGGTGGTATATTTGATGATTATTTGCCTGTTTCTTTATCTTTGTTACAGGAATGAAGTATGATTTGAGAAGGGTCGAGGAAGTTTACTATGATGTGAAAATCAGAGGGTTGGCATCTAACAAGGGGGAGTCAAAAGAAGACCAAACCATCGAAGAAAGTTAGCACGCTACTGGATTTGAATTCATGTGAGGCTTTAATTTCTGTACAGCTTACTCGTGAACCAGTTATCTTTTGGAAATTTTGGGTATGTAATGAAGCTGCTATAGCCGAATTATGGTCGTTCCTCTTCAGATGATTCTACCTTTTCACTGCCATTCTGAGGGGCTGTTTCATTGGTTTTATAGATGGAATAGATCTGGAAAGTTTTTGTTTAGGAGGGTTTGTCGGTATAGATCGGGAAAGTTTTCGTTTAGGAGGGTTTTTTATAGACGGAAGGAGCGTGTTTTTTAATTGCGAGGTGCAGGTTTAAAAAAACTTAGGCTTTTTGCATAAAGTTCGCTCTAGAAGCTTACTGATTAAGCCACTTTCTATATCAATAAGCCACTACCAATCATGTATAGCTTACTGAATAAGCTGTGAGTTCCGTTAAGCTTATTAAGATGCTAACAAACATGCCCTGAATCGCATATTCGAACATTCCTAGTTGCCTATCTTCTTTACAAGGTTGCAAAATCTGTTGTGGCTTTGTGAACATGAAAGGCTTGAAGTCGAGAGGTAGCAATGACTCAATTGGCCAGTTCTTTGCCTTTTAAAGTTTATGATGTCAGCATCCTCGTAGTCCACTGAGTTCATCCGATTAGGCAACAGCTCACTCAGTTCAAATCCGACGAGCTTCAATAAGAATGCTAAATATCGTAAAAAATGGAAGATTGTAAAGGTAGGCTCAACTTGAATCATTAAAAAGAATTCGAAAAAAAATCTATTTGAAGAATTCATTTTTAATTTCTCACGATATTTAGTCTTCTTATATGTAGGCGAACACTTTAACCCATACAATATAGTTCGTAAGATGGTTATCTTGTAAAATTTTCCGTTTAGTTTAGCAGAACCTTCTTGTCACACAACGCCTTCGTAGCTGCAATCTACTTTAATTGTTTGTATGCAACGTATTACGTCATCAAGTCTAGCTAGATACTTGCAAGTTGAAACTATCGTTTTAAGGTGTCCTTTGATCCCTGATGTGGAGTTGTACACCCTTTGGTTTTGGAGCGGCTAATGCGCGTGCCTTGTGTCTCCGTTGTTGCGCTCTACTAGTTCCAACTCACCTACCAGTATAATGTTGTCAGCAAATAACATACATTATAGGACATTCTCCTGGATACGTCCCCAGTGAAATCTCATATAGAATCATATAAAAAACTAATGTGCTATTTTGATTGTTTTGACGAGAGTTAAAAATATATTAAGGTTTTAAAATGAAAAAATGTATTAAAAGAGGGTATAAAGTGAAAATTTAAGGGGATAAGATGAAAATTTAGACAAATCCAATAATAAGTTGGAATGTTTTTTAACAATTGATTATAAAAAAAATTATTGATTTATTATGGTATGACACCAATAATAAGCACTTTTGAGTGTTCGAATAAACAATTTATATCGATGCTAAATCGATAATAAGGAGTTTTTGAAAAAGTTAAACTCTTCTGACTTATAATAAATTGATAAATATTTTTATGGAAAAGCATCGATGTCGGACACAACCAAAGTCAATGAGTCAATGGGATAACTTTTTTTCAAAGACTTTTTACATTTCAATAAGTCATTTTATGTCACCACCTTCAAAAGTCCTCAGTTCACATATGGTGGCATGTGGACGATGAATTGACGACAAAGAAACGATGGTGATATATTTGTTTTCTTTAATCGTTTCATAAATTTTGTAATCATATTGAATTCTGGGGTTTGATTTGCAGGAACAAGAATGGTGTTCCATTGCCGATGTTTATCCTTCTCCTTCCATGAAGATGAATATGAAACAACAACTCAAACGAAATCGACTTCAACTCAGACCTTTTATACTGCTTCTTCGGATCTAAATCGTTCCGTATCCGATTCTCAATCAAAGGTGTCCATCTTCTCAAATTTGGCCCAGAAAACAAGCAATCTGAGGGTTTTCACGTTCGCCGACCTCAAGGAAGCGACTAATGACTTTGATCAGGCTTCCATAATTGGAGAGGGTGGACTTGGGTTAGTGTACAGAGGTGTGATAAAGAGTTCGGATCATCCTTTTGATGAAATCGAGGTGGTTGTGAAGGACGCCATTAAAGCATCGCAGGTAAGTTCGTCTTCTTCAACATTCCTCTTTCTAATATCGCAATTGCTCTGTTTGTATTTCTAAGTTTAAACCCATTTCTGTTTAAATTGATTTGATTAGCACCTACTACTTTTTCTATTTGTAGTTGTTACCAACTTCATTGTTGCAGGAAATCCATTGATGCATTATCGGTATTTTAAATTCTTGATCAATTCAATACGCATTATTGTGAATTAGAAGATGAATTAGTAGTATTTGTTACTTGTTAGCAAGTTTGATTTATATCCACTTGTAGAAACCTCTGTTCAGATTGGTGTGGAGTCATGGAGGAATCCGTACACAACTTGTTTGATTAAATGCCAAAAGTGAGATTGATGGATGATCTTTTATGTGTTCTTCACTTGATGACCTCTCTTACGAAGGATAAGATGATGAGAATACTACAAAATGGCTTCAAGAAGTATGAATGAATAACCACCTTTAAGGCTGTTTGGTTGGTTGTATGGATAAAGTTGTCTGTGTGTGGATTAATCTATCTGTATAGTTGTGAAGGTTTTTTTTATAGATGGAACGAGCATATTTTTTAATTGGAAGGACATGTTTTGAAAAGACTTAGCTTTCGGCATAAAGCTCCCCCCTAGAAAATAAGTTACCTTCTATATCATTAAGCCACTACCAAACCGTCATGTATAGCTGCCAAATAAGCTGAGTCCCATTAAGCTCATTAAGTTGCTAACAAACAGGCCCTTAAATTTGTAGTAATTTGTTGGTCAAAAGTTTAATATTATGGGTACATTTCAAACATTGCCTTTTCTTCATCTCTGTTCATCCGTTTCGTTGGTTTTCTTGATTATGTTGCAACAGGGACCCAAACAGTGGGTGGGTGAGTTGAGTTACTATGAGGTGGTTGAGCATCCAAACCTAGTGAAATTCGTTGGCCATTGTTTTGAAGAGAATGAAGGAAGAATACAACGGCTTTTAGTCTACGAATATATGCCTAATAAAAGCGTGGAATATCATTTATCTACAAGGTCCAAAACACCTCTCTCGTGGACTATGAGACTCAAAGTGGCTCAAGATGTTGCTCGTGGCATGGCATACCTACATGAAAATCCGGTCGTTCAGGTACTTTAACGACTTGCCATACCAAAACAAGAAGGGAAAATAGTTTGTTACAAATGGACATGCTTACAAGACCTCTAACTTTGTTTTTTTGTAGATTATTTCCGGAGATCTCAAATCTTCCAACATTCTTCTAGACGATCAATGGAATGCCAAGCTTTCGGATTTTGGGATGGCTCGATTAGGTACTGAAGAAGGACTCACTCATGTCTGGAATGTGGTACTTTACTTTATCTTGGATTTTAGTTTTACAAACGCCTTCATGAGTACGTGATCTTATGCTCTTACTCCATTCGTTCCAAAACTAATGAACATTTTGCTCATAATCTTAACAATTGAAAGATCTTTTACTTGCCACAAGTGTTCTCATTCCATTTCATGAAAATTACAATAGTGTCCTTAGGGCATGTTTGTTAGCAGCTTAATGAGCTTAATGGGACTCAATTTATTTGTTCAACTATACATTATTGTTTAGTAGTGGCTTAATGCAACACCCTAAACTTTCAACACCTTAATAGGTAATTTAAAACGAAAATACTTAACGAGAGCCAGGATCTTTATATAAAATTTATCCAACAAAAGTAATAGTATAGCGTTTACAATTCCGCTACAGAGAAGATAAATAACAACCTACTAATCTAGGTTTTTTTTTCTAGATTAAAGACAAGTATTTCTATCAATCTCCAAAAAGTCGTAACATCAAAACGCAACGCTCGAAAGTAACAAGCCTATAAATACAAAAGAGTCTTTCACGAACCAACGCTCCTCTCGACCCTTTAGAGCCCCACCGCTAAAGGAACCTAAAAAGTAAATATAACAAGAAAGAGAGAGGGTTAGGCTTACGCCTAGTGAGTCCAAACAAAGAGTTTACGTAAACATAAAGGAACATATATAAAAAAAGTACATGCAAATAGTTGACGTAACTTTAAACAGGAATAGAGACAGTAAGACCTGAATAACTCATAGTGGGACAATAAAACATCCGAAGATGACGGGGGAGACCCGATTTACCGTTGATTATGACAGACACAAAGTAAGTCATAGATCCACGTTATAGAGCATCACCCACAKGTTTAATACCATCGACATCAACCTAAACCAGTCATGTAGTCGGCCGTGATCATAAGCTCTTTACCTCGGTAATTACATAATAATCACAATGCCTATTACCGAGTGAAAGTGAGAGGATGATTTGGTGATTACATAATAATCACAATGCCTATCACCAACTTACACCATCCTTCCCACGAATAAAATAAAACGATATACATGCACTATATAAATATAAATAAAAACGTAGTATCGTACGATATTTATATATATAGAAAATGAGTCATAAATAATACGTGGGAGAGTCGAGACATCCGAAGATGACGGGGGAGACCCGATTTACCGTTGATTATGACAGACACAAAGTAAGTCATGAATTAACGTTATAGAGCATCACTCACAGGTTTAATACCATCGACATCAACCTAAACCAATCATGTAGTCGGCCGTGATCATAAGCTCTTTACCTCGGTAATTACATAATAATCACAATGCCTATTTCCGAGTGGGGGCGTGAAGGTGGTTTGGAATTTACACAATAATCACAATGCCTAACTCCACTTCACACCATCCTTCACACAAGAAAACAAAGGAATGATCCTCCATGCCACTAGGCCTATTACATTCGAGTGGTACACTTGAAAAGGTACCCTAAGCATAACATGGATGAGTGTGGAAGCAAGTAGCAAATAGATAACACATGTCTAGCAATTAGCAAGTTAAGTAGCCCCATAAACTCACAGTGCTTTTCGATACTCAAAAATTGAGCCAACTTAGGCTCTACGTCGATATACGTCTAAACATCGACCAACGGTCACTCTGGATGGAAGGACCAAGTGAGCTTATTTAACACCTGTAATATGTACCCAAAGTTTCATAAAGATCCGACGACAAAAACTTAACCAAACTTAATTTAAACTCCTTTTAGGCACTATAATTCACAGCTCAATTTAACTTTTTATCAGTTTTGAGACGCAAATATAACCAACCTAGAAGTCTTATTTCTAAAAAGTGTCTAAAGGACAGGTTTAGATCTACATATAAGCTTTCTAAAATGTCCAGAATCGTAGCGAGCCGAGCTACGGTTAAGAAGTTATCGCACATTCAAAACAGCATCTCGGGTAGATTTGGTGCTGTCAAATTCACCAACTAAATAGGCTAAAATCCATATTTTGGATTCAATCTTTATTCCAACAATCAAAATACTATCTAACCATGTTTATATTATTGATTACAAGATCAATACTCAAGAATTTCACCAAAATAGCCATTAATGAAGTRAATCAAAGGAATGGTTATTCTACCTAAGGTGATCAAAACCATCTACCCAATCCAATTTCCCTCATTAACGGGCTCATCCGAGTTCATCTCCTTCGACCAAAATATGATTCATCTAAAATAGTTATTTTTATCTAGGCATTAAGACTTGAGGCATAAAACACAATATTAATATAAGTATAATGATTTTAACGATAAAAGTGGACTCACATCGTAGGATTTAGGAGAAATCCCGAAGGTTTAAGTACAAGRTTGAAAATGGCAGTCCCAACAGCGGCTACGGCTGCTTCTTCGTGACCCTACAGCTGATTTTAAATCCGTCTGCAGTGCGACCAAACAGTAGCTGTTTTGCTGCTTGATCTCCCATTGCGCACGAACCAAAACAGCAGCTGTTTGCTGCCAAACRAGGGAAAAAAACACAGCAGCTTGCTGCCCGCTGTTGTTGCTGCAGACCGAGGGAAAGACGCAGCAGCCTTGCTGCCCGCTGCTGTCGCTGCAGACCGAGGGAAAGACGCAGCAGCCTTGTTGCCCGCTGCTGTCGCTGCAGACCGAGGGAAAGACGCAGCAGCCTCTAGCTGCTGTTTTGCTGTTCGGGAAAGACACAACAGCCCGCTCTCCCCTTTTTCCTTGCTGTTGCTGCTGGTTTGTCGGTCGGAACGAAGAAACACTTGCTGGTCGCTGCTGTTGTTGCTGCAGGTTGAAGGAAAGACGCAGCAGCCTCTAGCTGCTGTTTTGCTGTTCGGGAAAGATACAACAGCCCGCTCTCCCCTTTTTCCTTGCTGTTGCTGCTGGTTTTCAGTTCGAGATGCAATGGGTCGAAGAGGCAGGCGAGGCTGTTTCTTCTTCTTCAAACA